ACCCAGCTGCGATCTGCTTCTAGCATTTGAAGAGCTGCTTCGTGCCTGGCCAGAATTTTTGCCAGTTGCTTGATGTGGGAGTCCGATGGCGGCACCCCCCGTGGGGCCGTGTGGGTCTCCGCATGACTTCTGCGTCCTTGTCGACCGTTTCCCTTGCCGTTCGGCTTCGGGTACTTGCTTGGGTTGCCGCGTTCTTGGTCCACTTCCATGTCATTGGAGAGGAGAACTTCCAGAAGTTTGCCACTTGATCGAGGGCATCCTCCTGTTCCATGCTGCTGAAGGAAAGAGAGCTGAAGGAGTGGGAGGCACCTTTGAGTATGCAGCTTCGGAGTCTTTGTGTAGGACACTCTGCAGAACCTACAAGGACGCGATAGCTGCACGGCTGAGGCTCTGTCCTCGAGGCCTTTGCTGGACTCTGTCCATGCTTGTGCGTGGTCCTGTGCCATGTGCCGCCTCCAATCCCTGCTGGTTAGTGATCTGCTGACCGCGCAAGCAGCAATGTCTTTCCAGGAACTTAAGCAATGGTTTGTCCGAGGCCGCGGCCTGGTAGATGGAGTCCTGTAGTAGCTGATCCACCCGTTCCCGAGTAAAATCTGAGCAATCCGCCTGCGGCTTCTGTGGTTGCTCCAGGAATCCCGCTCGTGCCCATGAGGTGGCAAGGGCAACCTGAAATATTACAACGCAGTTTCTGAGATGTCGGTCTTTTGAATGAACTTTCTGAGCGCACAGCTCACAATCGTGTCCTTTGGTGATGAGGTCACGATATGCCTCGCAGTTTTGCTGAAAGACCTCCAAATCTGAGTCCCAAATGTTGGGATGCATGCGTTTAATGTGCTCCTTGACCGAGCACTATTTGGCGATCCATTGGCCACAGAAACCACAATGGGCTACTAGTCTGGGGGCCCAAGTTGACAGGATCGAGAGGGGGATGGGTACTTGGAGCAGCTGTTGGCGAAGCTCGGCAGTACGAAACAGGGGCAGGTCCGTGTCCTCACCTTGCTCCCCTGAGGGCAGGGCTGGGGCAGGGGGCGGGGCCGACTCCTCGACAGAACCCGATGTGCTCATTTTCGGCTGATCTTCCTCCTCCCGCGCAGGGCTACGTGCTAGGGTGGTGGGCTGCGGCTCCTCAACCGTAGGCGGACGCCTTTCGGGCAGGCAGGCATAAGTCAGGATGTGCTGCTTAAAGGCTCCCCAGGACTGAAACTGTTTGTGACAGTGCTTGCACTGTGGCATGCCGTTGACGCTGTGCTCGTGTTGTTGATACTGCTGCGTGGCCTCCTTGCTCGCAGCAACGTAAATTTTGTGACGAAGTGCGCGGTGTTGACGAAGTGATTTTGAAGAGGTGAAGTAAAGACCACACTCTGGGCACGGAATGCCCTGCGCTGTGGTACCTGTCTGGATCAGCGTCTGCGACGTAAGTCGCTCAGTTGTGTAGTCAATGATGTTTTGGTGTATCTGGTGCCAATACTCAAGCGCCTGTGGGGTGTTGGTAATGTCCAGGGGAGTGCTTTGTAGTTTCAGGAGCATGCGCTTCACACTTTCTGCCAGGGCATCAACCGGATCCGGGATGCCATACTTCGTTCTCAGGGCGGTGTTGGATTCATGGGTGAGGTGTGCTGGCGCGTTGACGACGGCCCTAAGACGTCGATAGTACCACTGTCGCAGCAGCGTGGCTGAGGCAAAGCTGAGGCCAATGGGTGCCAGTCCAAAAGTAGCACTTGATACTGAGCAAGCCTGCCACACCTTGAGCCTGTGACCTATAGGCTGAACATCCTGCGTGCACGGGTGGCGCGGCGTATCTTCGCATCTCGCGCTCTGGCCTCCGTGAGCCTGTGCCTGACCACCGGGAGATGCGATTCCTCAATGGCAAGGTGGGTGCCGAGGTATACTACTGATTTAGCGAGCGGAATGAGTGCGGGGCCGTCCGGTCGGTCAACCCGCCATCACCTCTGACCGTCTTTGTGGACGATGTATTGTTTGAGGGCGCGTTTCGCCCCAGGGCCTCTCACTTTAAGCAGGAGGAAGGTTTTCGTCAGATTCACCAGCAGCCCAAGGTCTTCCATGACCTGCAGGAGTTTGTTGAGAAAGAGGGATAGCACATTGAGGTCCTGCGGGCTTTCTATGAGCCATTGACACAGAGTGTCGTCTGCGAAGGTGGTGGCTTGTCTGTGGGGGCCCGAAAGGGCATCCCCCAGCGCCGTGAGAATGACTGTGGAGATGGCCACCCAAAGCATAGGGGCCAGCTTACATCCCTGACGTATTCCTCTAGTCGTGAGCACCGCTGTGTCGTGGTATGAGTCTTGGATGCGGTACGCCGATGTGGCATGCAAAGCCACCACTGCAGCGATCAGGTCCTGTGGTGCCCCCAGACGCTGCAAAGCAGTGTCCAAGGCTTGTCTGTTGACTCTGTCAAATGCCTGCTTCAGGTCCAGGCTGAGGATCGCACCTCCAACGCAGATATCGTTGTATCCCTCAGTGGCCTCTCTTTCTTTCATGGCAAACCTGCCTGGCGTGAACTTGTTAAGGTTACCCCGACACAGCCCGCACCAGGCGTGGACACGTGCCAGCGCATCGTACAGGTCGCGCCCTGGTTGATAGGCGAACTGCGGCACCCATTCCAACTGGGGCCGAATGTGGTCATAAAGGCGTTCCTTGATGAGCGCCGCTAACACCTTCGCTTCCGGATACATCAGCCCTATGGGCCTCAGAGCGGCAGGCTGCGAAGGTGCCTTCCCCGGTTTCGGAAGCCATGTGATCCACGCGTCAGTCCATCGTTTGGGCAGGGACACGTCAGCCGTCGCGCTCAGCAGATATGCTTGCCGTAGGTGGGGGGCGATAGCCGCCGCCCCAATGCGCCAGGCAGCGGCCGGAGCAACGTCTTTCGGCACCGCTTTGCCTATTTTGGTGGCCTGCAGTTGGCGTTCGACGTCCTGTAAGGGGAAGTCCAGCGGAAGTTTGACCCCGGCTCTCGACGGTTGCGACTGTTGTGGGGCAAACAGCGCGCGGCTGTGACTGACCAGGGCGTCGTGTTCTTCCTTGTGAGTGAGGAGCCTACCTTCCGTATCTTTCAGAAGTACCCTGTTGCGCGGAGCCCAGGGCGCGAGCTTTTTCACGACTTGATAGACCGACCTCTGATCGCCTCGGCCGGCAGCGGCTTCGGCTTGCTGGAGAAGACCCAGGATCTCCAACCTCTTCTTTTCCTTACATTGTCGCTTCGCCTTTTTTGCCGCTAGGTGATATCTTACCGTCGCAAACCAAGCCTGAAAGAGTCGACCGGTCCGTTGCACCTGTACGGTGGTGTAC